ATTGTACTGCTGGAAATGATGGGAGAGGATTTCAAGTCAGAGGAATACACACAGTGGTATTTGAACTTTGATTCCTCATAAACAGTTATGTGTGGGGGTTATTCAGGTGATCAGAGAGGACACAACACAGGAGAACCTACGTTATGTCTTCTCAGCCACTGATACCCTCACCTGCTCAGTACTTGGAGAATAAGATTCCACCTCCTTAAGGGGCTGGGCAGAGTTCAACGTGCTTTTGAAATAAAGCTTTCTCCCAAAGCACACACACTCCAGCACTGAGCACCTGGGTCACACCTCTGCAGCACCCTCTTTACAGCACCTTTGCCTGTATCAGCAGCAAAAATAAATATATTTATTTATATAGCCTTATGATCATATCTGCTTGCTAATCTCACACGTGCAGCTCTTTGAGGGTTACTCACCTGCACACAGTAAACAAACTTGGGACTATGATGTGGATACAGTGTAAAATCTATGCTGAGTACATCTTGCTTTATTTATAGACGTTTCAGCCTCTTTCATTTATTCATTCCATCTTGCACAGCACCTGCCACAAAGGAGCAGGCAGCTAAGAAACACTCAGAGATCGAGCTCCACCTTTGTTCCTATTATTTTCCCTGTAGAAGAGATGAGGAACTGAGGCACAGAGCAAAGGCACGACAAGGACAAGGACAAACAGGGAATCTGTGGCAGAGCCTGGCACAGATCCGAGATCTTCTCATTCCTCGTTCACCTAGCCTGACACAGGCCAGCCCTTCCTTCCTCCGAGGCAGCAGATCCCAGAGTGTTAGTCACGACCCAGACAAGCGGGGTCGCAAACCCAACAGGATTTCAATTGCAGAAGCGTGATCACGACCTGACAAATAGGGTGCCCAGTCCAAAAGTTTGGGAACAGCTATTTTTGCGGCTTGTTTATATGACGAAGCTTTTAAAACTTCTACCACTATGCTATCTTGAACAGACACCCTTGCACAGCAATCACATTACATAATTATATTTAGAGACTGGCATTGTGTTGTCTTAGCTTTTCTTTGGTTTTTTCTTTAGCATCTGCAATGCCTGGAGGAAGTGCAAGGCATTTTTAATCCTGGGTTAACTGGGATCCTCGTACCAACGCCTATGCAACTGGCGTTCAAAATGTATGCCTTTCAAACTACGTGGTGAAAAATTCCTGATGGAAATGAAAAAATAGCTTCCTCTGGCTTTAAGTATGCTTTCAGCTCACCAGTGACCTTGACACGGATGGTGAGCACCCTTACGACAGACATTTATGGGATTCATTACAGCACAATGAACAATGGAAAATAATTGCCCCCAATATTTTTTGAAGGCGTAAGTGAATTTTGATTCGACAATATTCACGACCGGTATTGTATTTACTTTCGATGAACATTTGAGTGGTTGTGATTTACAAGTGCAAACGCTTGTGAATATCTAATTTTAAGCTTGGATGGTCACTGAAAGCCAGTTTCAAAGCCATTCAGGAACAGAATGATGCAACTTACGTAACTAACCGGCACATCACAAACTGGGACGATTCACAAACGCTTGTCAGACAAAGAATTACTCACTGGAGAAACGAACAAATCATTTCAACACACAAATACGACAAAGAATTTTACAGCTTGATCAAGAACAAGAAAAAGAGGAAGATTTAATCAGTGGCAAAATGATCATTAATCAACGACCAGCCTAATTTCCTTGAGTTTCATTCTTCAGGCCCTGAACCCACGGAAAGTTACAGGTGTGATATTTTGCAGCTCGAGGAGTTCTTTACAGTCTGAAGTTACTCAGAGAGCAGAGTTAAGCAGAGACACAGATCTTGGTATAATCCCAGCCTTAGTCAATTCATGGAGACTAATCCCTTCCAGTCTTTAAGAGCTCTGCACGTGCAAAACACCTGGGCAACTTCTTCCCCAGCCATGTATGGCACGGGCGGGATGCCAGTATCAATTCCCATTTACAGCAGAGGTTAGAAGGATACATCAACACCGCTTTGCCGAGCGATCAATGCAGCTGACAGCTCCCTGGGAGGCTTGTGCCCTTCGTGCTGCTGCCCTGCCCATCTACCAGCAGGCAGCGCCGGGGGCACACGGATCAGGGTGCATCTGCCCCTCTCCTTCCCCTCTGCCCAGCCACAGGCTTTCAAACTGCATTTGCTCTGCAAAGCGCACGCCTCATCGCACCTTCAGTCAACCAGTACTGCTCCTGTTGCTTCAAGGGATGAGGTCTTACCTTCTCCTCCTGTCTCCCTACTACCTAGACAGGCTTAGATCATGCTTTCCAAATCCTCCGTAGAGCAGATAATCCTGTGAACATCTCTCCAGTCGCTGTGACTGGATGGACTGAGATTTTTCTCCCTGCTCTCTTGCTTCCTCACTGCGCAGGGGGAATACTGGATGGATCTCATCCTGGAAGCAGAATAGTGCCCTCTGAATCATTTCATGTACTCAGTGAGGCACGGGCTTCTCAAGGCCACGTTGTCATCTGGAGTTAGAAGGGAGTTAAGTGAATGCACCAGTGACTTGGAAAGAGGCTCCCATTTGCTTCCATCTTGTGTACGGATCCTGAGCTGAACATAACAGGAACCAAAAGGTTCTCGCTTCTATTCATGAGTGGCTTTATGAACTGCTGTTCCTTAACTTCAGTCCTCTAGCATAATCCCTCTACTTTCAGAGAGAGTCTCAGCAGAACGCAGTAATCTTGACTTCCTAAAAAGTCATGTGCTGTTACCCAGCTACTGCGCTGCTCTTTCTGGATGGTGCATGTTTCAGGGAAGGTGAAAAAATTCACCTTATTTATAAAGACAGAGATTTCCGTGGGATCTGCCAATTTCGGTAGGGTGTGAATAAGTCCCTTAGGTTATTTAGGAAAAGTCCAGCCAAAGAGTGTTGGGCACAACAGAGTTGGACGGTGCTACCAAGATGCTATTTTGCAATTGTAGAGGATGTAAAGTTGAGAGAACAGGCAGCTCTCAAGTCTGATTGCCAGGGAAACAAGAGCAGCACTAGGATTTTCAATGTAGGACTCTGAAGGTCTCTGCCTTTTATATGGCACAGGGACTGGTGGCACCTCAGGTCAGCAGAATGGCAAAAGGAGGGGAGCAGAATGCCAGGGCTCTGCACCAAAGGGCCTGTTATTCCAGTTGCTCCGTGTCACCTTCTGACCTTATGTTGACATTTTGCAACATTTTGCAGCTGTGTGTGGAAGGGAATTTCTCCTAGGGGAAGAAGCATGTGAGGTTCTTCACGCTGGTTCAGAATTTTCCATGAATTTTAGTGACTTGTGCAGCGGCACGCAGAGCAAAAGACGGGGATCACAGGATACCCTGCCCACCTGTATACACAGTCACAGACAGCATCAGGCTGGGAAGCTGAGCAGTACTGACCATCTAAAGCCAAAGAGCTTGAGATAATGTCAAGTTGCCCCACCCCTGGTTGTGCCTGACATTACATTTCCTTAGTAGTTTGTTCAGTCTAATTTAAATAACCCAAGTGATGGGACTATTGCCACTTACACTAGGGCCTCATTAGCATGGGCTTTGCCAAACTCTACATATTTAGCTCATAACCTTTTCCTCAGGGGTCACACTTTCTGATTTGCAGCAGGTAATGAGATGCACAGAATACAATGTTCCTGGCATGAAAAGCCCTAGAGGCACTGCACCCCTTGCTGGGATGCCAGCATATTCCCTACCCCCCTCACCCCATTATCCTCCTCGCCTTCTGCATTGTATTCAGACCTGCACTGACCTTTACGATTCTGAAAAGCAATGAAAATGCATGCAGTTTTAAGAGATGTATAATGAGAAGCTAAAGAAGTTAGACTGGGACTCTGAAATGCTCGGTCCTCAGCTCTGCAAAGGCTTCTTGCATGACCTTGCATAAGTCACTTGATCTCTCTGCGTTAAACGCCTCTGGCTGTGACCAAGGAGTGTTATCCTGGTCTTCTCTAGTTAGACAAGGATGTTTGCAGCACAGGTTATGTCTCCCACAGGACAGGAGAGCATCATGAGATGGGTCATTATGAGTGATAATAATTCAATAATACTCTTTGGTTAATCGTGTTTACTTTGGGCTGTGGGAGGTTAGATTTTTACCAATTGTTCCATGCCTTTTTCAACTGGGCACCTTCTTCTACTGAATATATTTATAGTTGGACTCTATAAGGAGTCCAAAAGACTTCTGTCCAAAGGACAGGTGCTTCGTAGTTGTGTTTTGCTGACAGCTTTGCACGAGAATCTCTTCAGGATCAGAAAGCACCCAAAATTTCCCCTTCTCTACAGCACTTCCTGCTTCTCCAGTTGCTTGTCCAGTTGTTTCTCCTGCTTGTTACTATGATCAGAAAAAAAGCTGTCCCAAAAAGGAGCATTATGGTCTGAATTTCATTATGCATTGATATACCAGCAAAGAATATTTTTCCTCATCAATGTGGTTGCTAGTTTTTGTCTTTAAAAAAAATGAATACCAATAACCTGTACAGTCATACCCTAGCCAGAAGCCCTGCGAAACCAGGTCACGCTCTAACAAACACTCGAGTGCCCACGCTGAGAGATGATTTCTGCCATAGAATATTTCGCTGAAATACTGGGGTTGACTTGCAGGACTTTGGGCTCACAGCCTGGCCTGTTTTCTCTTAAACCTGGCAGGCTGTGGGTATCTACACATTCAAAAATTCAAAATCTAGTGAATTCATCAGCATGGCCCTGATGGCCTCAGACTGCAGATCTCGGTTCTTCAGAAAGAACTCTTGGAAAGGGAAACAAATGGAAGCACAGGCTGGCAGAAACATGTATGTGTGAGAAAGAAAGAGAGAGAAGGATGTGGATTTAACCGATTGTAAATGGAGCTCCTTGTAGGAGCTGAAGTCAGGCAAGGAGAGACAGACTGGGATCTCCTTCAGTTCACAATTCCAGCAAAAGAACTAAGGTCCAAGCCTGGAGATGGGATGCCAGGACAGCAAGTACTGGGAAGGAGGAGATCCTCACACCTTCTACTTACCAATTCTGTCCAGCCTGTCAAGAGCCACGGTTTCAAAAGCTCGCCTCATCATGGGATACTCTTCCAGCACCTCATTGAAGTTGTCCACCGAGAGGGAGTAGAGCCGGCAGTAGGTATCAGCTCGCACGCTGGCTGTGCGCCGGCCACGGGTCAGCAGGCAAATTTCTGGAATGAAAGACTCAGCCTGAGAACACGAGGACAGACACCATCACCCTGGCGATGCAAGACCTGGCACTGTCGCCCACGGGCGGTCCTACCTGCCACCCAGCCTCCCCGCCAGCCGCGCTCTACCTGCACTCCCACCGACAGCGTGAACAGTGGGAACGTTCTGCCCATGCAGTAACAGTTCAAAATACCAGGGGCTCAGTTGTGGCAGCTGCTACACACAATTGCACCTCAGGGATTCTGCTGATCTAATTAGCCAGTCGAGTTTTGTTATGGTGGATTATCAAAGATATCATTTGTGCATTCAGAATGGAGAAGCTGTCTTTCTCCAGCTCCTCATGGGCACTGGGAGCAGAAGGTCAAGTTGTGCTCTCATTGAAGCTAATTCTCTCTCTAGATTTGTAGTAAAGACTGTGCTGACTCGGGGCCTTGGTGTCTGGTAGTAATTTGATCCCCACACCCGGAACATTTGTCTTTTCAAGTTTTTCAAAGTATTTTGTAGATGTGCCACAAGCTTACAGATTGTCAGGGTAAGCCAAGCTAGTGGCACCTACTAACTCTTGGTATATTTACATTGCAGTTAGCTACTCCTAGGAGGATGCTCAGCTGGCAAGAGAACAGAAAGCCCTTGACTCTACCATAAATGCCTGACTTGGGCACAGATGCTCCTTGAACACTCAGTGGAGAGCTCCTGAGTCCTGCTTTTCCACTGATTGCACAGAGTATGGACAGCTAAGCCAGGCACTTAAAGGCAGGCGGTGTGACCTAAGGACTGACAGCACTCTTCTCTCTGCTCTATGTTGGGTTTCAATCCACCAGTGCAACTCTCAGGATTCATTCCGGGTCTACCCCAAAGCTCTGGTATAGTAGCACTAAAAGGTTAGAAGTGTGTTATTATGGGATGCTTATGGGACCTTGCTGGCTTTGAATGTGCGTGAGGAGTTGTGTGTATGGGATCTAAACCACGTTGAATGGCATGGGCAACTTTAATCAACGCCGTCAGGGTATCCTGACTCCAATGCTGTAACTCCAAATCCCAACAAACTGACCCAACTTCCTAGGGATGTGCAAAACCCTTGTACTCCAGGTAGGTGCAGACAGGCTGTTTCACAGGAACTAAGAGTCTAAGAGCAGTGTAGGAAATGCATGATAGGGAATTTTTAATGGAGAAAAGGCCTTACAGAAGGGGAGGAAAGGCACGTTTCATTCTGCCCCCTCTCAGTAGGCTGTTAACTGTGGTGCACTCAGTGCTTGTACTAAAACGTGCATCTACCAGAGAACTGTTTGTCTTGGGCTGTCAGTGAGGTCTCTACAGGGCTCTGGTAGGCGGGGTGCCTGTGTTACTCATAAAAGCAGTATCCTAAATCTTTTCTTACAGTCTTTTCTGACCTCATGCTAGTTTCGCTGTTCCAGACCTCTGCTGCTGATATATTCCACCTGCCTGAAGACATTTTGCTGAGCCACAGGCTGGGGAGATGATGGACTATGTGTTTATACAGTACCTTGTATGACAGATGCCAGACAGTAGGACTAGGCAGCACTGTAAAGATGCTTGGAGAATTGAGAACACTCCATTTATTTCCTTTAGGCTCTCAGCTTCACAGATCTGTCACAGATTTGCTTGGGGCAAAAAGAAATGAACCTACAAGAACTAAGTTTCCCTTCTCCGTGTTGTTATTATTTATTATCTAGACTCCTGCACTGCCCATGAGTCCCAGTAAATCTCCCATTGCACAATTTTCTATATGGGAAGCTGCAAGATAGGTGAGATGAACAGAGACAGAGGGTGGAGGAGGAGGTGCCTGGGGTATCAGTTCCACATGCTGCCATCCCTGTGCATCCAGGACAAGTTAAGGAACATATGGGCAATAGCAGTGGGTATCACTATGTAAAGGTGACTGATTAACACGCACCCCCAAAGTAGGAGCCATCAGCCAGCTTGGTCTCCTTGTTGCCTTTGGTGAGGACGCTCACCACTCCGTGCTGGATGAAGTACATCTTCTTGCCAATGGTGCCCTCCCGGATGATGTAATCCCCTGGCTGAAACACCTCAAACCGCAACTTGGTCAACATGGATGTCACAAAGTTGGGATCTGCATTGGCAAAGAGGGGCATGGAGGCAACCAGCTTCCGGCAGTTGAAGTTTATGATTTCCTGACCATGATGTGATGCAAAAGAGAGAGAGAGGGGAGGGGGAAGAGAAAAGATGGGACAGGGAGCAGAAAAGATACACAGATATGTTTAGTCAACATTTAACAACCTATGAAGATCCCTCACTTGACCTGTACATTAGAAAGCAGGGGGAAAAAACCAATTCTGTTCCCTTAGTCTGGCTCCTCTAAGTGCAGGCTGGAACGAGCTCTGGATGCTCAGAGCATGCAGCAGCGCGAGCTGAAGCTGACAGCTTGACACCACGCTTCACTGCTTTCATTCATACTTTCTCTTTGAGCAGGGACAATACCCCCGACCTCCCAAAGACACACAATACACCTCTTTCTGCAGGAAACCTTGGCCTGTGAGAGAGGTGCATAGCGCTGGTGAAAGGCTGCATGGAAAAGCCCAGGGCTCCTCTCTGGGAAAATGTTATAACTCACCTTGGCAGCCCTATGTTCTCCGTTGCCCTTCCTTGTCAATGAGATATTAAACAGCACAAATGTGCCAAGGCGCTCAGAGAAAGAATTATCCTGAGCAGCTGGGGATAGTGTCAAGAGAGGGGAGGGAGAGGTGCCCACCAGTCACTGGGGCATGGGCTGGATCATCAACCTCGGATGAAGAAAACCCAATCCAGCTGTTCAGCTGTCATATAGCAGACAGGGACTGTGCCTCCTCCTGTGGCTCGGTGTCACTCGCAGGGTCTGACAGCACTTTCCACTGCACAGGAGCTGCTCTGTGCCATGTCAGCTCCGACTCGGAAAGCGGCAGAAAGTGATATTGAGTAAATCACCTCAGCAAAACACTCCCTGGCCAGGCAGGGAAGGAGCAACTGGATGACGGGTGCAGGAAGAAAGAGGGCTGGGAAGCACCTGTCTCCTCCTCACTGGGGTTCTTTCTAGGGTTGCCCTTTCAGTCTTTGGCAGAACTAGTTTTAAAATACAGCTGGTAGATCCTCAGATCCTTCTCTGTCCTATGGAGGTACATTACCTGGGGAGTAGGGGCAGAGAAGACAGAGGAAGACCACTTCTAGTGCTTGTGGGTAACATACTGGAGGCATACACTAGGGAGAGCCTGCACTGCTGGGCTTCAGCTAGGGAGAGGGGTTTTCTGTAGAAACTCAAGTGTGGGCCCTGCTCCTCCTTTCCTTTGACTTTGTACCTCTGCTGGTACAGCTGATGGACGGAGCATAGATCAGGCCAGCACACTGCACAGAGGTTTCTATAAATATATGACACACAGCTCATCAGGGAGCATGCAGTGGGAGTTTACTGAGATGCTGTACCAGGCAGCGGCACGTGTTTGTGTGGGGAGGGAAGTGTGAGGTGCAGGGCACTTTCCAGAGTGCTCTCCTGCAGGGGCTCTTTGGGAAAGGGGATGACATTGCCAGACATTGCCATGGCCTTGGAAGGGGCCAAGATGCACCTATTCACATGCTGAGTGGGTGGCAGGGCCTGCATGTTGCAGCCTCCATTGCCTTTATGTCAGCCATCACTTGTGCTGCAGCAATTAACAGACTCAGGCAGGAGTCCTGCAAATGCCAAAGGCCTGGCTTCCCTTTGCCTTGACCAAGGGAATGGAATTCCAGACATATGCCAATGGCTAGGATGGTCACTCCCTCCAAATGAAACTGTCTCTGACAGAGACACGGCCAAGCTGTGGACCATGTTCTTCTTGGCCTTGCTCTCCCAAAAAGTTAAGCACAGCACAGCCCCACATCTGGCTGCTCAGACGCATGGATGTGCTGTCTCTGCTGGGCACGACATTAGAGCACCACGCAGCCGGTGTTAACGAGAACGCTGGCCTCCCACCCCTCCCATCAACTGGTGGTGTCCCTTGTGAAGCACTGGGACTGGACACTGCACACCGGGAACTCCACAGCTGCCAAAGACGACAGGAATGTGCATCGCCCAGTCACTGCCCCCTCCTTACCTCTCGAAGGGGCTCACTCAGCTCTCCCAGGATGCTCTCCTCATCAAACATCTTCCCCTGGTAGCGGTGCTCATAGTAATCGTGGATGCGTTGCCGCATGTCAGCAGGGAGCTTGTGGAAGGACATATACTGTTCCACTTGTTTGTACTGCGCAGAGGAGAGAGGAAGAGAAGGAGTTACCAGGACATGCAACGAATGGCGCCCGCTCGAGGACAAGCACATGGTAGACCGTAGCCATATCTGCTTCCTTCACACCAAGGCAGGCCCAGGCAGACAAATCTGGTGCAGGAGAGAGCAACTGTCTGAACACATGGGGAGTGAGCAGACACCTTTGTTATATTCCCCAAACGGCTGCCCCATGTTTTAACCTTTAAACTTATCCTCAGCCAGTGACACTGTGGAGAAAACTCATTCCCTGGGTGCTGAGCCGCCTGTTCTCCCCTACACACCCAGCAAAAGCTGGGAGCACAGATGAGTAAGAAGTGCTCAACTGGGAATCTTTTCTCAGCAAATAATGCTGAGCGAAGACTGTCCAAACCCTGCGCAGAATGAGAGCAAGAAGTACAATGTGCCTTCAAGAGAAGGTTTTTCCATGACACATGGTGGTCAGGAGGGTGCCTGACCTGGCAGCTTGGCTCTAGACCAGTAAGTGGTGTGCAGCACCTTGAGGCCTCAGCCAAGCTCAGGAACCCACGGCACCAGGCTGCACAAAGCAGCGGAACGCGGTTCTGCCTTGGATGTTCACCGTCACAGGCAAACTGAAGGACACCCAGAGACAGAAATCTGACAGTTATCCGGTTGAAGCTGCAGTTCCTGTGGCCTGCTTTTCCTCTCCTCTGTGTTCTTGTCTGTGCCAGCTATGATGGCACCTTTGCTCTCCCACTTAGAGCTGCACAGGTTCAGATCTTCTTCACCTTTTGCTGGCTCCCTATTGCCCCATGCACTCGTGCCACCTAACCTGTCTGTATTTTTCCCTAATGGTTTGCATTTCCATCATGTCACTCAGAGGGGAACACAAGAGTGCACTGACTGATGCCAGAGCAGTATTTGGGGACTAAAGGTGCTTTGTGTGAGCAAATGACACTTCCTCAAGGGCACAGGACTGTAAATGGGTCCACTTGCCTTGAAGGTGCTGCAGGGACAAGGTGTTTATTGCAATGCTCATGCTCCCTTCCACTGGTACACAGCACAGAATATGACGCTGAGCATGTACCATGCTAAATAACGCTGACAAAAAAGACTGTGCTCCCCCTTTGCTATCCCTCTTTTTCCTCTTCTCCCTGATAAATCTGTCCCTGAATGTCCCTTTACTGCAGCTTGTGCTGAAGAGCCCAATTACCAAACTTCTGCTCATTACAGACCTCCCCTGCACACACCAGTGTCACTCTGCTCTCAGTACAGTCTGTGCTGGCGCTGCCTTGCATGCTAACAACTTGATCTGCACCAGAGAGGAGAAGGAATTACTCTAAGAAGCCAAGGTGGCAGAGGGGACACTCGGGGTTTCCTGGCATTTCCAGAGCTTTTTGTCTGTAGCTAGCAGCAGAGGAGCTGGCTGTAAATATTCATGATCTCTACAGCATGATCAAAGTCAAGCGAGTCACCACCTCCCCATAGGGAGTCAGGCAGAGAATTGGCAACAAATTATTATTTGGATTGCTGAAGTTCTGTAGAGACTGGTAGGACACCAGGTCAGGCGGCGCTACGCTGGGTGCTGCGCAGGGTCTGCAGTTCGTGAGCGAGGAAGATAAAGGGTGCAGACACCCACACCTCACATGTGGGCAACTCAGTGGTCTGAGCCCATCGAGGATTTTGCAGGTTATGCTCTTAAACGCAGAAAGTTGAAGGCCTTGCTTGGCTCAGAAGCCTAAACAGAGAAGTCTACTGCCACTGGAGATGCACTGCAGTGTTTAAGACATCCATGGGACCTGGCAAATCAGACATAGGACATGCAGGATACTCATTATGGAAAGGGAAATCATTAGGCCCTAGCTTCTGCTGACCCAGATTTATTAAATTTTTCCTAAATCCAGAAACGGTTCTGTTTGGTTTCATGCTGTATTTTTGTTGAATAAATTATTTGCCAAAAAGATCACCTTATATTCTCAGTCTTAGCCCAATGTCTTGATACACTGACCAGTATCACAAGATGCCTCTCATCACCTGCTGCCTGCCACCTACCTGCTACCCCTCCTCTCTCCACCATAAGCACTTGCTATCAATCATCTTCAACTGACCTTTGCTTCTTGGGAAAAATACCCCCAGCTTCTCAGATTCACAAGCGCAGGTTGGCTGGGGCGACTCAGACTCTTTGCTTATTCACTACCGCACTTTGTAACAAAAAGCAATAAATTACTGCTCTGCAAAGTCCTTAGGGCTTGTCAGATTCTCCTACGATCACTGTCCCTAGATAAGGCTCGAGTAAAAACAGGACAAATTCATTTCACCAGAAAAAAAGGGTTCTGCTTCCGATTAGAAATTAAAATCATGGTTATAAAAGAAAATTGTGAAATAAGAAACCATAATTCTCTGTCATCGTTAACAAGAGGCACAGGTCTTGGCTCTCCTGTCTTTGTTAGTGCTCCCTCCTCTCACCCATGCCAGCTGGAGAGTTTTGTGGGCTCTTAACTCTCCTTTACGCAGAGATGGAGTCCTGCAGAGGTGCTCAGGAATGAAAGCATCAGCCCCTTCTCTGTACGCTTGATAAACTGAAGATTCATGTGGGTTTTTCCCCCGTCCCCTGGAGCTGCTCAACCAGGCTGAAGGCCACCACTCTTGCAGTGTCAAGCAGCCGCAGTGACCAACCAAAAGGCCACGAAAAAATTGCACGAGAGAAGGCCTTTCGAAGTGTAGTGGGATGCACATGTCTTTTTTCAGCTTTTCTACCTTGCCCAACAGCCTCCTTCTCTCTCCTTTCTCCCTTGCACTTCTCCGTTCAGTCTTCCTACTTGTCTCCATGTCCTCAGCCCGACCTGTGCTCAGAGGAACGCGCAGAGATTAGTGGCCTCTCTGAGTTCAACTAAAAAGGCTCATTTAGGAATTATTTAAATCTCTCTGAAGACAATCGAGTCTATTTAAATCCTAACTCATTTTCTTAAGTCTGTTTTTTCTCAAATAAGCCCTTGAAGGAGGTATTAATATATCAAAAGGGAACCATTTATCTGAGTATTTTTCCTTCTATAACTGGCCACTTTCTCTAGCTGTCTCACCACTCCCCTCCCCTTCTACCAAAGCTCAGATCATTCACAGTCCGAAGGGAATGAAATATTTTTAACTCCTTCCACACCCTCAATCTCTGTCACGAATCCTCCTCTCTCTGGCAGTAATAAATCACTGGCTGAAAAGGCTGGACTAGTTCTTTGCCCTACTTCTGAGTATAAAAATGATCCTGCATCTGAGAAGAGCTGCTCTCATCTCAGTTCTGGCACTGACACCTCCTTGAGTCCGCTTTTGGTCCACACACACCACTCTTCAGAGCTTCAGAGAAACATTGATTTCCAGTTTTTCATCTGGGTTCATTCAAACACACTTACACACCTTCACAGGATGCCTACCGACATGAGCACGCACGCATGACCTACTGCAGTGAGGGCACCCGGGGTGCTTGTCTCCCTCCATCCAAAGATAAATACACATTTCCTACGCAGAGCTGTACTGCTTGCATCCTTCCAGAAACAGGCTGAGATCACTGTGGGAAGGAGTTTAATCTCAGTCCCAGTCTCCACATCTGGACTCCATGGAAGCCAACAGAGATGCACTTGTGTAAGAAACAGGAGAATCAAGCAGAGTAATGCGTTTTCAGTGAAGTGAAAAATCATGATGCTCTGGCAGTATTTCGAACGCTGGCAGCATATCTCCTGTGAGACTGGATTAAGATGCACATCAGAAGCCACAATGTAAAACGTTGTGGCTCTCTCAAGTGGATTAGTGCTTCACAGGGGCAAAGATCATGCCACGGACTCACCAGATAGAGTGTCTGCATGAGACACAGCTGCATCTTTGTTTTATTTTCTCGGACCTATGATTAGCAGTAAAACAGTGCGGCTCCCAAGTGTACAGTAATCATCAAAACCAAAAAAATGCTGAGTTCCATTTTTTTTTTGTCTTTTAAGCCATTCATATTCCCATGCTCAGGATTTGTTCTACGACCAGATATACATCCTATTCAAAATGATCAAAATACTCATTCTCATAGAGCCAAATGACTCCAGGAGTGAGTGGTTCAAGGGAAGAAAAGTGAACTTCTTTAAGACAATAAAATCATGCCGACACTGCTGGTGCGATCTCCAGCTTGATGCTATCTAGCATCAGTCCTAGCTTGAATAATTTTGCTCTTTTCTCTTCCAAAATTCTCCTGAGAACCGGTGCAGGCTCTCGCAGCTTATCCCAAGTCTGCCAATGCTTATAACGCAGTTGGCTCTCCATACATACTCCTGCTCATGGGCACTGTCCTGCTGTTTTCCAACAAGAATATAGGCATTCATAAAATTAAACGTGCACAGGGTCATCTTCACCATAGCAATAGGAGAGTGACTGAGAGGAGCTGTGTTCAGGCATATGCTGTCCCTCCCATACCTCCAGCCTCCAGGCAGCAAGAGAATGGGCTTAGAGCTGAGGCTGAAGCAGGAGCTGGATTCCTTCATGGAGGGAACCAGAGGAAACTCTAAATGAATGAGTAAGTGGAAAGAGAGCTGGGGTGCCTGCATGAGGGGAGTGGTGGTGGAGGGGGATCATAGTGTGCTACAGGCAAACTGGTGGTTATATCAATACCAATTCAACCAGAACAACTCAGACCATACCCAGCACAGCACCAAAGATTATCACTGCTACTTTTGCTTTCTGATTAGTGAGCTAAATTTAAACCCACATCCATCTACTCTTCAGCTTTGGAAGCTATTACGTAACGTCCTGGTTCTGAGTTCTTCCAAAGACTGGGTTAATTTTTGTACTAGAGCCATAGCTCAATTTGCTACAACAAGATGAGTTTTAAGTCTTGCATGTTACATGCTGAAAAACATGGAACACTTTTACCCTCACCGCAGTGAATTCTGAAAATCAGAATTTCTGATACCTTCAGAAATTCTCTTACCTAGAATCAGGTTCTCTATCTCTTGCTGTGTTATGAAGACCACAGACACCAGCAGAAAACT